AGAGAACTAGTAGAGTAGATCCCTTTATTCTCATATTGCCAAATTAGGGAATCTTCATCTCTAGTCAGCTCATAGCTCTTGATGATCTGCTCTAGGCAGTACCAGTTCTCCATCATGGTATTTGAGAAAACTCTTCTAAAAGTCAGTTTGATATTCACCCCATCCCAAATGTCTGCAACAGTAGCCCCCTGCTGGTGACAAATAGTGTACAGGGGCCAGAACTGCACTGACAGTGGGGAGGTGCCAAACCATATGTCTTCCCAAAATCTAACTTTCTTACCATTACCTATTTTCCATCTATACCCAAACTTCAGGGCTTTTGCAGCCCACATCACTCCCTGCCAGAATTTGGAGGTGTTTTGTGGATTGGCTGCAAAAATGTTGGGGCTTTTCTTAATGTACTTAGAGTCTACTATTTGTCTCCAGATCTTGCCTTCATCTTGGATATATCTTTTAACCCAGATGCCTAATAGGCATAGGTTAACATCCTTGATGTTAGGGATACCCATCCCCCCATACTCCTTCCTCATGCAAACTAAATGCCAGTTTGCTAGATGAAGCTTCCTATCTCCCTCAAAGTCACTCCAAAGACAGTGGGCGAGTTGGCTGTTGATTAGGTCAAGAGCCCACTCGGTGAATTTGAAGAAGGAGAGTAGGAATACTGGGATGCTAGCAAGACAGGCTTTAATCAAAACTACCCTAGCAACATAAGAGAGAAGTTTCCCTCTCCACCCAGCCATCCTTTTGAGGATCTTGTCAATGAGGGGCTGGATGTCTTCTCTCCTTAGCTTGTCATAATGAAGGGGGACGCCTAGATATTTAATAGGGAATGTACCTATAGTACATTTTAGGATATTCTTGTAAGAGTCTACTTCACTGTCAGTGAGCCCAAGGGGGATAATCTCACTCTTTGAATAGTTGATCCTCATACCAGAAACATTCTCAAAGGTTTCTGCTAAAATACGTTGCAAAACAAAATTGTGCGTTTCAAAAAAAAATGCATGAATTCTGAAAAACAATATTGGACTTTTTTTCAAATGTTTGTGATTTTTAAATATGTTTAAATCCCAAAAAAAATAGAATTTTAGAATGTTTTTGTGATTTAAAAATATTTAGGATTAGTTGTTTTCTGAACTTTAAAAAAATCCATGTGTTTCCAATAAATGTTCATAAAATTTTCAAGGCTCATGAATTTGAAATATGTTCATGTATACAAAAAACTAGGATATAAAAAAATGTTTATGAATTCAAAATAATGTTCCCAAATTTGGAAAATATTCAGAAATTAATAAGACATGATTTTAAAACAATATTTTGAAAAATATTTTAAATCCAAAAAATATCGCAAATTAAAAAATGTTCATGAATGATTTTCAAAAATTAATATGATTTTTAAAATAAAAAGGAAGGAAAGTAAAAAAATGGGATAAAACTTGTAAAATCATCAAAGAAAAATCAAAAAAAGAACTTTTCACCCGTCGGGTTCTAGAATCAAACTTTCCCAAAACTGATGGGAGAAAGAATAGTGGGCCGGTCTGCAAATGCCTAGGAGGGTATGTGTGTGGTCGCTATCCAGCGACCCATGCATAGAATATGAAATCCCACCGACTCCCTACCAGGATTGTCCAATAAAAAAGAAAGAAAAAAACACTATAACTTGTAAACTTAGGTTGTCAAGTGTAAAAAAACACTTGTCTTCACCACTGAGTGCAACAGTCGACTTCGTTCTAGTGCCACCTTCTCCTCCACACGCTAGGCCTTAGGAGTGATACAGTGCTACACACCATGGAAGCATGCAGGACGTTCCAGGCTATTGTTGATGCAGAGCTCACTCGAGATATGAGCATGAGCTCAGAAACCGATACAAGACAACCAATTCATGTGATCATGGAGCACACTAAGATTAGAAAAGTTCATAAATGCTATATGGGGCGATCTGGATGGTGCAAGGACATCTACGAGGGGGCTCTTCAGAGTTCTTTACCGATGCATTACTTCGTAACCAATTTTTGGACGAGCTAAAAGGACATTAAGCAGGTAGAGATGGGACACGAGGGTAGTTTTAAAGCAGGTGTGGTGTCATGAAGACCAATGTGCATGGTGTTATATCTGAGATGGGAGCTTCCATGTAACTTGGATCCGGTGACACTCTTAGCGCTGGTGCGTTGCAAGGCATTGGCATTAGCAGGTGATCTCTATATCAAAATTGTGCTTTCGCGAGAAGCACAAATTGTGCATCCCTAAAAGGGAACAACACAATTGTGCTTTTCTAAAAATAAAAAAACATAGTTGTGCTTCTCAAAAACGGGAAAAGCACAGCCTGCATCGCCAAAAGAACGAGAAAAAAATATTCTTACAAAACGTGCATTACTGATAAAAAAACCCAAAAAATATTCTTACAAAACTATGATGATCACTTAACATTGAGGAAGGACATAGAGGTCTTGAAGATCCGAGGTTCCCCATCTCTCAGCGGGGTTTTTTTTAGACCAATTGCGGGTTTTTTTTTTTGGAGAAATGCTAGCGATGCGGTTGAGCGAGGACGGCGAGCGAACGAAATCAATGGCTGTTGGGCCACGGCCCGCTCAACACGACTGCGAGCGCTGTAGCTCCCATCGGCGGTCGGC